CAAACTCTTTCAAACATTTGACAATTAAAGAATACTACCAAGTACATTTTATGACGTGACTATTACATTGATACCGAAACTGAACAAGGACAACACACACACACACACACACACAACTACTAAACAATCTCTCTAATGAACACTGATGCAAAAATTCTTCAATAAAACCCTAGCCAACAGAATCCACAGTGCATTAAAAAGAAAATTTAAGTGGCCAAATGGGATTTATTCCAGGGGCACAAGTTTGGTGCCGTATCTGAAAATCAATTAATGTAATCCAACACATCAACAAAAAGAAAAACCATATGATCATATTACTAGATGATGAAAAAGCATTTGACAGAGTTGAACATCCATTTATGATGAAGGCTCTTGAAATTCTTAGAATATAAGTAACATACCTTAATATAATAAAAGGCCATATAAAATAAAACCATTGCCTATCATTCTCAATGATGAAAAATTTGAAAGCCTTTCCCATATTTCTGGAATAAGACAAGGATGTTTACTTTCACTACTGCTTTTTAATATAATACTAGGCTTAGCCAGAGCAATAAAAGAAGAGAAAGACAAAAATCATCCAATTAGGGAAAGAAGTAAAAACAATCATATTTTCAGATGACATAATAATATACAGAGAACCCCCAAAACTCCACAGAAAAAAATTCAAAAAAATTAACCACTTTGTAAAGTAGCACATACAAAAACAATGAACAAAGATCAGTAGTCTTCTTATATACAAACAGTTAATATGAAGAAGAAATCAAGAAAACTATCCCTTTTATAATTGAAACACAAAAAAAATCAAATGCCTGAGATTATACCTAACAAAAGAGGTAAAGGGACTATACAAAAAAAATATATAAAATTTTGAAAAATAGAAGACAAAAAGTAATGAAAGACATCCCTTGCTCAAGGATCGAGAGAAATAACATTAAAACAGTTACACTACTGAAAACAATTTACAGATGCAATGCTATTCCAATAAAAATTTTGATGACATTCTTCAAAGCCACAGAACAGATATTGCTGAAATTCACACAGAACATTAAAAGAACTCAAATAGCCGAAATCTCATGACCAAAAAGGAGACTGGAGGCACCACACTTCCAGGTCTTAAATTATAATACAAAGCAATAAAAATTAAAACAGTATGGTACTAGAACAAAAACAGATGCACAGACCAATGTGCTTGAACAGAAAACCCGAAATAACCCCACATATTTATGGACAGCTAATTTGACAAGGGTGCAAAGAATATGCAATGGAAAAAGGACAGTTTGTTTAATAAATGGTGCTGGGAAAACTGGACGGCTACATTCAAAAATATGAAGCTAGATCATTACCACATTATCTGTAAAATCCAACTCAAAATGAATAAAAGACTTGACATAAAACCTGAAGCCATAAAATATACAGAATATAGGTGAAACACTATGGCATACATCTCTGTTAACATCTGTAAAAACACATCCCTCAAAGCAAAAAAGTGAAGTAAAAGATGAGCAGCTGAAATTACATTAAATTCAAAAACTGACCCTCCCTGGTGGCGCAGCGGGGTAAAGCACAACACTAAGAAGCTAAAGCCACTTCCACATGAGTTCGATTCCTGCCTGCTCTGGAGGTGACCACATGGCGCGGCAGACCTCTCCTTACCTGCCCGCTGCTCCCCTAAGCAGTGTACTTTGTTGATCTGCCTGTTCTGCTCCACACTCTTTCTCGGGTGAAGCCCTCGCCGCCCCTGAGCCTCTGGCCTGTACCCCAGTTCTGTATGCACAAATAAATCTTAAAAAAAAAAAAATTAAAAACTTCTGAGCCACAAGAGAGAGACCTTAGCCAAACAACACATACCTGATTGGGAAAAAAACTTTGCATACAATGCTACTATTAAGGGACTGATCAAAAAGACATACCAAGAGCTCACACCACTCAAAAACAAAATAAACAATCCAGTTCAAAAAAAATGGGTAGAAGAGTTAAAAGACTTCAGCAAAGAGGAAATACAATGGCCAACAGGCATACAAAAAAATGTTCAACATCACTGGTAATCAAAACCACAATGAGATACCACCTTACACCAGTGAGAAAGGCACAAATTAAAAAATCTGGCCCTCCCTGGTGGCACAACAGGTTAAAGTGCAGGTCTGGGAAGCTAGCCACAACCACTTCATCAGCAGGAGTTTGATCCCTGGCCAAGGAGGTGACACGGTACAGCAGAGCTCTCCTGTCTCCTCCACTGCTCCCCTCAGCAGTGTACTTTGTCAGTCTGCCTGTCTGCTTCCCCACTTTGTCTCTGGTGAAGCCTCTCACCACCCCTGCATCTATGGCTTGTACCCCAGTTCTGCTTGCATGCATAAATAAATAAATCTTTACAAAAAAATAAAAATTAAAAAATTTAGCAAAAACAAATGCCTGCAAAGATGTGGAGAAAAAGGAACCTTCTACATTACTGGTGGGAATGCAAATTGGCCCAACCACTATGGAAAGTTGTGTGAAGGTACCTCAAAATGAAAATGGACCTCCCATGTAATCCAACAATTCCTCTCCTGAGTATTTACCCAAAGGATGCAAAAATATTAATTCAAAAGAACAGTTGCACCCCTATGTTTATTGCAGCACTATTGCCCAAAAATAGTGACTGGATCAAGAAGATGTGGTATATATACACAAAGAAATATTACACAGAAAACAAAAAAGATAAACTCATGCCATTAGCAGCAACATGAATAGAATTGGAAGTGATCATACTCAGTGAAATTAGCCTGAAAGAAAAGGAAAAATACCAGATGGTTTCCTTTATAAAAGGAATGTAGGGGGCCAAATTAAGCAATCGGGGGGGATAGAAAGTAATTATAACAAATTAAAAACCAAAACTAACTTGCAACTATAAGCCAGAGACATTCTTGGGGCATGAGGGGAACTGGATCAAAAAGGGGTGGGAAATGCACAAGGGACTATGGTGATGGTACACTGTTGAACTGATGGTGGGTATTTCTTGGGGATGATACATAAGATGATAAAGCATACACTGTATGAAAATGAAGAATGATGTAAAAAATACATCAAATCACAAAAATAGTAATGTTGAGCTTTAAAGTAATAATCCTTAGAATTATCTTCACTTACAGAAATACCTTGTAAAATAATTTTATATGAAAAGATGAAAGCAAATAAATGATATAGAATTAAAGTTGTTTACACAAAAATAAATTTGAATCTTGACTGGTTCACCTAAAAATCAATAAAGTTGATCTCAAAATTAGTATTTTTATACCTTGTTAATTCTCCTATTAAAGTATAATGAAGAAATTGTAAATCGTATTAGCCAGCAGTCAATCTACTTTTATACTTACATAATTTTTTAAAGATTTATTTATGCATACAGAATGGGGGCATAGGTTGAGGTCCAGGAGTTGAGAAGATTCACCAACGACAGAGTATGGAGCAAAAAAGGCAGATCAATCCTGGCGGGCAGGCCAGGAAAGGTCTATGGCGCCATGAAGGTCACCTCTCTGGCCAGGGATTGAACTCCTGCTGCAGAGGCTATTAACAGCTTCATAGTGCTGTGCTTTAACCTGTTGCACCACCAAGGAGGGCCATACTTAACATAATTTATAACTTATCCACTGCTTTTGATAACTGGGGGATCATTGTTTCTTTTATCATTAAACATCACCCCACATATTCACCTCCCTCACTCCTCAAACCCTAACACCACTAAACAAGTGAATCTGATAACATACTTAAAAAAAAAAAGGCAGTTAAACAGTAATGCTCCATAAGGATTTCAAAAAGAAATACTGGTTAAAAAAAAAAAAGACAATGAATATTAATGGGTTGCATGCTTTTATTGTAAATCAGTTTCGTAAATTAAATTTCAAAATTAAAGTGAAAAGGATTTATCAAAAAATATTAACACATAAGTCATTAGTAATCCAATACAAAAGTACTAATGACTTATCATTTCATCTATGCTACCAAGTTATTATTAATATAAAATATCGAACTGCTACCTACACTACTGGTGAAAGATAAACCAATACAATATTTTGCAGAATAAGTCTTATATATGTATCACAGTTAATAAATACCCTTTAGGACCCTCCCTGATGACACAGTGGGTTAAAGCGCAGCATTGCAAGCTAGTGCAGCTGCTTCAGTGCAAGTTCGATACCTGGCTCTGGAGGTGATCCACATGGTGTGGCAGACCTCTCCTGACCTGCCCACTGTTCCCTTCAGCAATGTACTTCGTTCATCTGCCTGTTCTACCCCAATCTGTCTCTGGTGAATATTCTCACCACCCCTGCACCTCTGGCTTATACCCCAGTTCTGTATGCATAAATAAGTAAATCTAAAATATGTATGTATGTGTATACGTGTATGTATGTGTGTATGTTATAATGTTATATACATGTATGTGTATGTGTGTCATAATGGTGAAAGAAATGTAAGGGCACAAATAATAATAATACAGGTTATTCTTTCAATGAATTAATAAGTTAATAGTAAGTCCTTCTGCAGAATATTTAATATATGTTGACTGAATGAACAGAAAAATAAGGTTGTAAAAGATCATACACAAATAACCAAAATATGTTAACAGTGGTTATTCCTGACTCACTACTCAAGAATGCTATTTTATACTTAACATCTATAAAGATTTTAAATCTTTTTAATAAACATTCTTCAATACACATTACACTAGTATTAAAGTTCATAAAAATTTTGTAAGCAAAACAAATTCTCTTAGTTTGCTGGCTCCTACTGTATGTAAATAAATTTACTCAGCACAATGTGACCTAAAGTGTATCTTATAATCAAATAGTCTTTATGATACTATAAAAAAAAAAGCAAAGGAAACCCTTTAAGGATAATAGGTGTCTTGATAACACCATCAACAAGTATCATAAACTATTAATGCACATAAATTCCACCAAGGTTATCACTTATATTGCTTTATAATTTTTTTAATTATTAACGTTAAAACACTAAAAATTTACCTGCATTGCACTTTTCCCCAGTTTCACCACTTCAAATAATGTGACAGGCTCCCCTTCACCATTCTGTTGAGGATGCCCATTAGCTCTTCCACGGCCTGTTCCTCTAATTCCAGCTTCAATTCTACTCTTCTCTCCTGGTGATTTCCGCGGTTTCTTATTTGTAGACTGAATAGAAAAATTAAGAAAAAGTTAAAAGGTGGTATACTCTGCTTTAAGCAGAACATGAAATCTTGTTCCAATCTGTGAAAAGTTTAGTTGGACCGTTATAGATTATAAAGACATAATTCCTGACCGAAGGAAGCACTGTGATTTGTTGCCAGTGATAAAAACAAAGTACAAATTACAATGATTATGTGAATACATTAATTTATATAAGGAATGAAAGCAAGAATTAAAAAAAAAAAGACTTAGAGTTCTGTGTAGTAATGCTAATGCTGAATATTTTAACCATGTTCCCCTTCTTGCCAACTCCTTTATACCATTTCTTCATCATTCTCCTACTTCCAAAAACATTCAATAAAACATTACTTGAAAGTGCTGCATATTAAACGTCTCTCTAAACTGTACTATTCAAGAATTTCTTATCCAGTAATTAAACAAATAGATATTGAACATATATGAAATAATTATTGGTACTAGAAATGAGGCAATAAACAAACACTCCTGTCCTGATGAAGTTTACACTCCTGTCCTGATGAAGTCTTCAATTAAGATTCCATATCATGTGAAGAAAAGGGAACTCTCCTATACCACTGGTGAGAATGCAAACTGGTCCAACTACGGAAAGCTGTGGAAGTTCCACAAACTACTAAAAATGGAGCTACCACATGACTCAGAAATTCCACTCCTGGGAATCCACCCAAAGAACACCAAAACATTAATTCAAAAGGATACCTGAACCCCTATGTCTATTTTGGCACTATTTACTACAGGTACATATGGAAACAACCACAAATGCCCAAAAACAGATGACTGGATCAAGATGATGTGATATATACATACCCACATGGGATACTATTCAGCAATCAAAAAAGATAAACTTATACCTTTCGCTGCCAACATGAGTGGAACTGCAAGGCATTATGCTTAGTGAAATAAGATAGCAAGAAATGAAAAATATCAGATGGCTTCATTTATAGGAAGAATGTAGGGGGATCAAATAAAGAACCAGTAAAAAATAATAATAAAATTTTTTAAATTAGCAGGCAACTATAAACCATTCTGCAGGAGAGGAAGAGGGAGAAGAATCAAAACAGGAGAGAAGAACACAAGGGATTATAGTGACAGTGCACAGGTGATTTGGTGGTAGGAGAAAGCAAACACTATAAAAAGTGAACAATGATATAAAATAAATAAATTTTTTTAAGTAAAAAATAGACCATACATGTGCCCAATTAAAAAAAAAATCAAAACTAGGGGCCTCATGGTGGCTCAGGGGTGAAGGCCTCAGCACTATCAGGTCATCGCCAGCCACTGCAACATGAGTTCAATCTCCAGCCAGGAAGCTAAGTCACATGACACAGCAGATCTCTTCTATCTCACCCACTCTTCCCCTAAGCAGTACATTTCAGTAGATCCATCTGTTCTGCTCTCCACTGTCTCTGATGAATCTTTTCACTCCTTGTACCTCTGACCTACACCCCAGTTCTTGCATGAATAAATAAAAATAAATCTTTTTTTAAAAATCAACTTTATGCCTTGCCTTTAAAGTCAGGGTAACTTAATTAAATTGCTTGCAATCACAGTATTTCTTTCCATAAATTTCACTCACATATAAACAATGCTTATACTTCACAAGATAGTATTGATTTTTTGTTGTTGTTTAATTTACTAGATATTTCATGAAATCAGCCATATCATTTCTTCTTTTTCTCTCATTATATTCCCTACCTGTTAGTATTACAGTGGGTATCTGCCTTAACATATCCTCTTCTAAAACTTCAAACTCTATTTTGACTGCTTTAATTTATTAATGATCATTTATTTCACATATCAATGTATAGCTCCAAGTTCATCTTTATTTGTCCCACTTTTTGAATCTTGAGGTGGCTCCTGTAAGTAAGCATTTCTCATTTGCCTTCTGCTACAGTGTTAAGCTTTTTAACTGCAGGGACCTAGATGTACATTTCAAATTATAGTATTGAAGGGCTTCTCTTTGTGATTATAGTTTCTGTATTTTCTACCTCTCTATTCTTTATAGTACTTCCTCATTTTCTCAGTAGTTAACAACACATTTGTGTGCTGATTAATAATCATTTTATATGCTGGTCACTAAACAAAAGCCTATAATAAAAAAACACAGATGAAAAAGAACCTAAACATACCACTAAAGAAAATCAACAAACCTCAAAGGAACAGAAAGCAACCACAAAAGTTACCAGAAATCAACTAGCAAAATGGCAAGGAATACACACACACACACGTGTTATGTATGTATTTATATATACACACACATACATACATATATATACACACACACATACATATATATATATATATATATAAACACAACTAAAACCTGAAATACAAATGCACTAAACTTTTCAATAAGACAAAGAATGAATGAATGCATTACAAAACAAGACCCAACTATATGCTGCCTATTAGAGACTCAGTATAGGAATGAGGACATTCACAGACTGAAAGTTAAGGGATAAAAAATAATACTGCATGAAAATAGAATTAAAAATAAATTTGGTACTGTTATATAAAACAAGTTTTAAAGCAAAGACTATAATAAAAAAACAAAGGTGGCATGTTTATTGCTGCTTTATTTACAATTGGTAAAACAGGGAAGCAGCCCAAATGCCCAAAAGTAGATGACTGGAGTAAAAAGATGTGGTACATATACACAATGGAATATTACTCAGCAACCAAAAAAAAAAAAAAAGAAACACATGTCTTTTGCAGCAACTTGGATGGAGCTGGAAAAGGTCATGCTTAGTGAGATAAGCCAGAAAGAAAAAGAAAAATACCAGATGGTTTTTTTCTAGCAGGAGTATAATGGACCAGGCGAGAAAACAATAATAATAATAATGAACAACTATATACCAGAGACATTTTGTGGGGGTGGAGTGGGGAATGGGTCAAAAATGGGGGGGGGGAGGGGAAGAGTGCAAAGTGCACTGGACTATGGTGATGGCACATGGGTGACTTGTGACTTGGTGATGGGAAACCCACGGGGGTTACAATTGAGATTAAAAAATGTACAAAATTATGTAAAAATAAACATATTACATATTAAAAAAACAAAGGTGGACATTATATAATGATAAAGGGTCAATTCATCAAAAAAAATATACTGGCTATATTTTTGTCTTTTGTTTTTTGAGATGTTTCTGGTTATAGTGTTAATTCTTTAGTATGATCAGTCTGTTTTGATCTTGTGTTTCTTCATTCAATTTTGGGAGGATTTCTGATTTAAGGAGTTTAACCCATGTAAAACTCCAAAATATGCAAAATATGCAAAATAAATATTAAAAGACCTAAAGGGAAAAACTGACAGAAACACAAAGACAGTAGGCAATTTTAATACACAAATCAGCTACTAGATACTCCAACAGAAAATGAGTAAGAAAATAATGGTCTTCAATGATACATTATACCAAACAGACACATAAAAATAAAACACAGCATCCAAAACACAGCAGAATATATAAGCAACATTCTCAAGAACAGGTCACATTTAAGGACACAAAACAAATTTCAATAAATTTAAGATTTGAATCATATCAAAAAATTTTCCAAGACACAAAATTATGAAGTCAGAATTTAAAAAAATAACACTAGAAAAGATACTAAATTGTGGAGATTAAATAATATGCTACTCAATAACTTGTGGGACAACAGAGAAATAAAAAAAAACTTATCTGGAGACAAGCAAGAATGAAATAAAAAATATTAGGTCAATGAAACAAAATGGTTCTTTTTAAAAAGTCAACAAAATGATAACTGGCTGAACTCGTTTAAAAAAAGAGAGAAATGGTTCAAATAAAATCAGAAATAAAATGAGACAATAAAGTAACAAAAATGGAAAAGATCATGAAACACTATTATGAACATCTGTATACTAACAAGTCAGACACCTCAGAAAACATGGGTAAAACTCCTTGAATTGGAAATCCTCCCAAAATTGAATGAAGAAACACAAGATCAAAACAGACTGATCATACTAAAGAATTAACACTATAACCAGAAACATCTCAAAAAACAAAAGACAGGAGCAGACAGTTTTACTGGAAAAGTCTACCAAACATTCTAAGTTCTCTTGCACATTTTTGTCAAACTTTCAAAAATAACAAAAAGGATTATCCTAATTCCTATGAAGTCAACAAAGCACTGATAATACCAAAAAAAAAAAAAAATTACAAACCATATGTCTACTGAACACAGATAAAAATAACATTCTCAATCTCCATGCACTAGTAGAATCATATTCAACAACACATTTAAAGATCGTACACTATGATCAAGTAATAAGTCTAGTGATGCAAGATGATTTGATATAACAGATCCATCATTGAGATAAGGCAAATCAACATGATATAAGATAAAGCCAATCCTATAGAGGATACCATTCCATCTCCACACAAACCTACATTCACTTCTGCTAGAAAAATAAGACATGCCAATAGACTTATCTTTGGAATGGGTTTAGAGAAAACACATGTAGACACAGGAGAACATGCAAACTCTACAGATGGTCCCAGCCGGGAATAAATTTTGTTCCTCTTCAACATTATAATGAAACATTAAGCAAAGTAACATATTTAAAGATCTTGATTTATTTTGTTGTTCAACTTGCTTTACCTTTCATCCCTTGGAGATCTTTCAGTTGGCTCCAGTGTCCATCTAACATATTCCCATCATTGTGTGTCTTTATATTTTTAGCACCTGGTTACATTCTAAGACAACATAATCCAGTCTCATTTTGTTTACTCCCTTTCCCAATTTAAGAATCAGGCAATAGTCCAAGGGGCCCTGGATGCTTCATTGAAGAATATTAAAGATTAAAATATGTCACTAGGTTTTGCTTCTTGATACTAAGTTTTCCTTCCTTCTAGGCCCTTAAGAAAACAGAATAAAGACATTCCATATAAATAATTTATAATTGTATTATAAATTACAATTTATAATTGCAGTATAATACAACTATAATATTTCTA